CTGGGGGGGAGTGAGCGAGCGGCTGCGTGGTGCTTAGCTGCCGACTGAGGTTAAACCACGACATCAGGTTTGTAGGATGAGCTGCTGGCTAGAGAGGAAGGAGTGAAACAGGCAGATAGATCCTCGGGGTGGATGCCTCCATTGGCAAAAACTGATTGAGAGAGGGACCCTGTAAAAGAAAACAGTCCGAGTTGCAAGTACCTGGCCCTACAGAGGAAGGGAAGGTGTCGCAGCAGCCCTCCAAATGAGGCAATGATGCTTAGTACTCACGACTCTACACAGCCCTGAAAAAAGGAAAAACACTCATCACTCCTGTCATGGGGTAAACAATCCCTTCACAGAGTTGCATCCTGAAGATGCTTCTGTCTCTTTCTTTTTGCCCTTCATTTGAATACTGGGAAATTGAACTCCAGGAAGGAATGTGTTCCTGCAATAACAAAGATGCTACTTGTTTGACACAAGTCAGCTATACCCGTTTGCTGGCATGGGACACAGGAAAAAAAAGCCTCCGAAATCAGTTGTGAAGGTGACAGCTCTAGACCAAAAGTCAGTCAAACCTGGGAGTGCCAATGGCAGACCCCAGGCCAATATCAGTACAGAAATTGCACGCTGAAGCTTTTAATTTCCAAAGCTAGGAAGATCTTTGGAAAGAAGAAAGATAAAAAGAGAATTAAGGAGAAAGCAGTGATGCAGCTGGAACTGGCTCAGCCAAGTGACTGAAAGAAACTGAGAACACACTGCTGGTAGTAATTGCACATAAGGGATAAGGCAGGCTTGGAGTTTATAATTGCAAGGTATCACCAGCTTAAAAAAAATTCTCTATGTGATAGTGCCCGTGTGTAAGAACCAACAGACAATCATCTCTTTCATACTTGCCAAGTCGCAAAATGCATGTATAGATGCAGTTCCATTTCTGCTGTCAACATCGTTGACAGAATCGTTTAGGTTGGAAAAGACCTTTAAGATCACCAAGTCCAACCATTAACCTAACACTGCCAAGTCCACCACTAAACCATGTCCCTAAGCACGAGGACTCAAGAACTTCACTGATTTTGGTAAGAACTGAAAACTGAAACAGAGAAGCGAAGGGCATTTACAAGACTCCAAATGCCATCTACAGCTCAGGAAACCCTTAGTAAACCAGTGCTGAAGAGCATTTCCTATCTTAACGTGGTCACTGCTCCAACTCGGTTTCAAAATGCAAGAACCGTTTCCCCTGTGTAGGACCCTGCACAACAAGCAGGGACAGGAACTGTTCCCCAGAACGAAAAATAAGAAGGGAATGTGTAGGCAGAAAGAGCATCTAATTTGGGCAGAGATCATCCAGCTGTTGCATGCCACTGGGATATACAGTCATGGCAGTAAAATCCCAAAGGGAGTGAGAAATGGGAGAAAAGAGCTCTCTACAACCACCTCAGATGAAAAGGTCTTAACTTGAATTGACAGAGCTGTAGCAGTAACATTTTCTAGCAACATTTTCCTACAGTTTCAGAATAGTACTTGCACTACACTTTCTGTGGAAAAAACCTGTGGTAGGAACATTTGTAGAAATAATTTCTGGTATTTTTTCAATGTAGATAATAACCGATCAGTCCCAGAGAGTTTTAAATCAAAACTCTGGCAGACACCTGTGGTAGAAAATAATGCTTTTCCCCTTTAAGCAAGAAGGTCTGAGTTGTAATTCCATGGATAAAAGTGTATGTATGGCACAACTACTGAGTCTATGCCATTAGAAACTACTTAAACCCTTCAGTAAGTATGAGAAAAGGAGAAAAGGAAATAGCGAACAAGAATGAAAAAGGAAAGTGGATCTTTTCTGATGCACAAGCAAAACAATTACAGAAGAGGAATTTTAGGGAATCGAGTTTATATGCTCTATCATCAATTGCTTTGTTGCCTTTGTGTTCAAACTTACATGACAAGATCCAAAAAGTTGTTTCAGTGCATGCAAAAAGATGTATGACAGCTCACGAAGACTAACCCTGGATTAGCACAAGTATTTAAAGCACAGAGACAGAGAACTATTTCAGGTGTGGGTGAGAAGAAAAATGATAGTCCACAACACAGCAGTGAAAAGGAACAGGGACACTGGGGAGTCAACTGTCTCACTTTACTCCTTTTCTTTAGCCACATATAAGCTGGATTTGATTATATAAAGTAGACATCTACAGCCAGGCATTCATGAGCATATGGCTCAGAGGTGTGGGGAAAAGAAAACAGAAGTATGGACCACTGGTAAACATCATGAACTGGTAAGTATTTGTCAGTTAGTATGTCATTTTGATTATTTATTTTTCCCTGTTATTTTATCTGATTGCCTTATAGGTTCTACTATTTCTTAGTACGCTTTTGCCAGTAGAAAGAATCAAGAATTTTTATCTTAGTATGGCTCAATCCATCAAATAAGTTTTTAAGTCCATTTGTAACCATTTCATTCTGAACATGTTAAAAAAAATCTGCATGTATTTCACATCTCTTTTTACTCTGCAAAAATGAAAGCGAGTAATATGCCCCATTACATACCAATCCCCTAGAACAGATTACTTTTTCCCCATATAGCATCACGTTAAGACACAGAATACCTTTGCTGTGACATTCTCCTTTCTTTGTCTGAACAGAAATGTAGTGTATCAATTTCTAAAAATATGCTAAATTATAAAATTAACTGAACTGGCCTTACATTTGTGTGAAGAAAAGTAACCCTGTGTTCTCATGCAACGGACCTGTATTTTCAGTGAATAGTCTTCCTAAGTAGGTAACATAAAAGCAAACCTTTCTTTTTTTCTGAGTTGGGAAGGGTGTTAAAAGCTATTAGCTTTTTTTGCTGACAGAATAACATTAACATATTTTTAAAAAATAACAAAAGATTTTTTCTGTAATATACCAAGATATAACAAATACATTAAAAAAGCCCAAAGAAAATAGTATGTTCACCTCCGTTATGTGCAAGTTTGTGTTCCAGCTATATTTCACATGTTAAAAAATTAAACCCTACCCCCCTTTCCCCTTCCAAAACCAGTCAAACACAGAACTAAATGCAGTCTCTCTCCTGAAAGCCAAGAGATGGAGATTCTTGAATCTGTTCATCTGTTTCCAGTTCAGCTGTTGTTGCTCCTTAATCTTTTCCTCTAGTTTCTACTAGCACATTGACTAATGTCTGAATATTTAGTTCTAGAAAGGGGAGATAAAAACGTTTACAGTTACTTCTATTTCATGTTATTTCACATAATACAGCAGAGAGAATGTTAAAATGAAAGTTTACTATTAACTAGCTACCTAGTTAATGAACTAATTCTATTACCATAAGCATAGTTCGCATTTGCCCAAACTCACGCCCAATGAGAGCTATACAGTAGCATACGCCCACCTCCCTTTAAATCCCTCTTGTAATCTATTTCCAAAGGAGAATCTTTTATTTTGAATAGCGTATCACTATTTTTAACATTAAGGAATATTTCTACAATAATTGGAGAAAATAATTTGTCATACAACAAACCAGCTCTTTGATAACATTTCTCTTCTGTTATCCCAATGTGTTTGATCCATTTGGAGTATTTTCATCTATCATAATGCCATCCCAGTTTGGTTCTGCACGCACTCTAATATTTTCTTCTTTATGCCAATACATTCCCTCCCCACAGTTGGCACCCCAACAGTACAAACTCCGATCATGATATAAGATGCTAGTTAGCAAGATGACCTAGGACAAACCTTTCAGTTCAGGAAATTTTAGTGCTATCAGAACTTCCTCCCACTCACAGCTCTATTTGGTTGTCAAGAGGCAAAGTCTCCTCAGAGAGGCAATTAAAGCCATTCTTCAACTGATACAGATGTTGCGCAAAATTAACTCAACTCCTCTGAAGGGAGCGTACTATCTCTGCAACACGCGGTCTCCTGCTTACATTAAAGCAACTATACTGATGTAACTCATTTTACATGAAAACTAGTCACAATCTTACTTTGAAGTGCTGGATAATACGGAGCCAACTGTTTGAGCATCCTGGTCATTGTAGGTATATCCTTTCCTCGTAGTCTGTTCAAAATGTTGGGAGTAAGACCAACAGCATCTTCATCAAACATCTTATCTGAGCTTCTGAATTGCTGGTAATCTCTGTACGAACCACTGCCAGAAAACGAGTACTGATGTGAACCCCAATCACTCTTGTAGCCTGACTTCTGATGCCTGAATCCTCGACACCTAAATTCCTGGTTCCAGCTAGAGTTCTTGTTCCAGCTAGACTCCTGGTTCCAGCTAGAGCTCTGGTTCCACCTAGAGTCCTCGTTCCACCCAGAGTCCTCGTTCCACCTAGAGTCCTGGTACCACCTGGAGCCACCTCTTCCTGAAACAGCAGAATTTGCAGACGATGTACAAGTACTCACGGGCTCATCATTCTTGTAAGAGGAATAGCTTTGCGAAGGATAGTTTGCGGAGTATCTTCCAGATGAAGGATATGAGGCAGAAGAATTGGGATAGGGTAATCCTTGATCACTTATACTCCTCGCTTTTGAACATGCTTGTTGATTCCTCCAATTTGTACTTTCCCCGCCATATGAGATTCTGTTATCAGGGAGCTTATTTCCTCGCACGTCGTTGGACATATATTCTGCTGAGTACTCACTCACTGGACTTGTCTCATAGGAAGAGGCCCCACCAGCTGAATTACTGCCAGAAGCAGATCGGCTGAACAGTCTCAGCCATTCACTGATACCACCGGCAGGACTTCCAGTCTGAAGAGCAAAAGAGTCCCTGAGTGCAGACATCATTGCAAAGTCATTAGATCTTAGTCCGTAGGAAGATGATCCATCATCTGTTTGGTAACTGTATGAGTTAGCAGGAGCAAAAGAAGCATCTGCAGAACACTCTTCATACTGAGACAAAAAACCTTGATTCCAGTTAGAATTTCCTGAATAAATAAATAAATACAGAGCACTACTAATTTGTTAAATGCAACTGGTGCAACTGTTTGCAAAATAAACTTAACTCGGTATAAGCCCTTTTTTTGTCTGACTATATATATGGTATTTAATGCATAGTTACTGCGTTAGCAAACATCAGCCTTCTTTCTTTGACTGCATTTGTAAAGCTGAATAAAACTGAAGAATAATAGGAGGGGAACAACTGACTCAAACCAATTAATCACTTGAACTAACACATCATCTGAATTCAACTACACTTTGCTTTACTGTCAAAGCATCTTAAAAATCAACCAGTAGAATTATCATTTGAAGGCCGCTCAAGTAACGTATCTAAGAGAGCTCAAAGAGAGATCAGGATACACTAACAGTATATAAGAACGATTATAAATAGTAAAGCTAGCATGTCTCAAGAAGTTAACACTTTGACTGATACATGGTGGTAATACACGTGCTCTTAACCCACTGTGGATATGAAATAAAATGGGTTAGCTTAAACCATAAGATTTCCTGTCAGTGCTTGTTTTCTTATTAAATATATCAGTTCTGCAGTTCGCAGGGAAAAAAAATAGCAAAGGTTTACAAAATTAAAGCCTGTAAATCCTCCAGAAACACAGCCAACCAAAGAGTTGCCAAAGCTCTACTTTTGCAGCTCATCCTTACGTCCTTTCTTACTGAACTTCTTTTCACCTTAAGATTTGTGGGAAGTAGAGGGGGGCAACTACTTAGAAGGCCAGCACTCTAAGGAAACAAGCCAAATATCTCTTTCATTGTATCCCTTAGCGGTACCGGTACATTCACTTTCAATGTAAGAACAGCAAATACTCCTTTGAAGATACCTTGACACACCAACCTTCACACTGAAGCCAGGCAGGTGTTACTGCTTGGGTTTCCAATAACCTCTACTGCTGTAATACAACTCAGTGAGACAGAAGTGGTCTTAGACAGTCAAGGTTGAAATCATTAAGGCTTCAGAAAACGATACCCTGAACTGACTCAGAGGGCAAAGAGACACAGTGCTCTAGCAAAGAAGCACTATGGCTGGCCATAAAAGTAAATTTTCGCAATCTGTCCAGCGCTAAGAGTGGACTTAAACTAGTAGAACACAGTATGTAAATTACCTTTGGATTTTCCATATGGCTTATAGTGTTTTGGGATGCTTTTCCTTCCCGGAAATTCACCTTGAGATATTGACATCAGTGGCCTCAGACTGTTAGTATAATTAACCTGGATAAAGCAAAAGGTCAGAATGTCTGTTTTTAAACTCAGATCTTGAGCATTCAAAAAAAAATAGTAAGTTGCCCATGGAAAGTTAGCAGAGTACAATTTCAGGTGACAGCAATCTCCGTATGCAGGATGTGTTGTTCTGTTGTTCACAATTACCACGTTAAACCACAACTTTCAAAAGTATTATGTGGAAGAGGTACATGTCTGGAGAACAGAATGAGGTGTCTGGGGAAGACAATGTCACCTGTTTAAAATTTCTTTACTTTATTGCCCTGTATCCCTCAACGTCACCTGGCTAAAATATAAAATGAGTACATATGGGCAGCAGATTTAAATGCGGTGTAACCACCACCAACACTCACTCGCAGAGGAGATCAGCTCCGGTGCAGGTGCCTTCCGCAGCGGAGCGAGGGATCGCGGTGTATTCCTGAGCCGGGGAAACCCCAGGGGAGCGCAGAGACCCGCCAGCTCTCACGAGAGCGGCTGATGAGGCGTGGATGGGGCCAGGAGGAACGGCGGGCACACCCCCCCCCCCCCAAAAAACGCCCCACGGGGCG